CCCCCCCCCCCCCCCCCCCTTTTCTCCCTGAACAAAAAAAAAGTGATGAAAAAAAAGATACATACCTGTCCCCATTCCAAGCAATCAACTTTAACAACAAAGGAAAAAACTGCCAAAAGAATAATTATAGATATCAGATAGAAACATACTGTTATTAATGGAATAAAAAGCAAGTTACAACGCCCAAAGAGAACAAGCACATGAATCAAGAGGTTAATTTGAGTGCATTGTGATTTCATGCTTCAAGTTAGACAATGAAACTTCAGAATTTCTAGAGGGGAACTATGACAGTTAGAATCCAAACCAAAACCAAGACAATTCATTCCATCAGTTACATTTTTACTTTTGTATCATCCTTAAGACCTTATTACCTAAAAATATCCAACTATACCAAAAACTCATTGAGGAGATATTTTCTCATGCACCATTTTAAAAACAAAGGTGCATCAGAGCTTTAGGTTATACCTGAGGCAATAGATTAGGGAAGGAAGTCTGAAGCTTCTTCTTGTTGATAATGAGAAATTCAAGCGTTGCCTCAGCGACAACAGGATCAGCAAACTCCCTGCAAAACAAGACAAAAATTTCCTAGAATAATAAATCTGCGACATTCATAGGGCCTGTTTATCACAGATGTAAATTGGGGTTAAAATTTTGCAGTGATAAAATTTGAAATTTCCTCTCTAATTACTGTTTGATAGGTCAGCAATTAGAAAGCACGAGTTTTATTGAAATAAACTTTCAACCATTTTTAAGGGGTTAAACAGTACTCTGATGGAGACTGATTAAGTAAATTTTCCAAAGTCTCTGAATTTCAACAATTAACAAACGATAGAAATCATCAAGACTTTCCAACATCTGACTCACATGTCTCCTGCTTTTGCCTCTCTCAGTAATGGCAGCACAAGGGAACAACAAAGAGAAAAACACAGTTTGCTACTTCCTATGTATTCTTTTTGCTTTCACAGTCTTCCATTCCACTTATGTACATTACTATAAACCACAATACTCTAATTTTTCTAACAAAATATCAAAATTCTGCCCTGTTATCCATTAACAACCACTTGAGGTATGATCAAGCCTGGTTATCCCAATCCAATATAATAGGTAATAATAATTCTGAACCACCAATTTTAGTTTTGTTTCCAAGTTTTGAATTTCTGTGACATGTTCTGCATTTCCAATTCAAAATGAAAATGCCATCTGTGTATGGTTTGAACTTTTGCAAGCAAGATCAACATGTGTTTCACATATCTGGAAGAACATACAAGCTTGAAAATAGTGGTTTTAAAGAAAGCAAGTGAAAGGGAGAAAAAGCAAACTTGAGATTGGTGTTTTAGGGAGAGACAAGAATGGAGAAAAGTGGATTAAAATTTTACTTCTCATATGAGTAGAGCAAGAAATTACCAAACAGGATAAACAAAGCACGTAGAATGTGTTTTAGGTCCCTCAATTTTCAGTCAAAATTAATCTTAGATCCTATACTTTAAAAAAGAATAAATGATGATTTTCATCCTCATATTTTCAATAATTAGAAAAAATTTCATCCTTCACCCTAGTATCCTAACTCCTATGTTTCATAAAGAGGCACAAAATTCACCAATTATAAAAAATATGATGACCAAAATAACCGCTTCTAAATTCTAATGTATAGGGTCCAAGATCAATTTTGACCAAAACTTGAGACCTAAACACATTTTAGGTAGAAAAAAAAAAAAAAAAAAAGGCCAGTAACATTAATTCCATAAAATCCTTTTCGTTTAAAGTTTAACCCTGAACCTTCGAGTGTACACCAAACATTAGTCTCCCTAAATTTCACACCCTACTCCTATCTCATTCCTCTCCATGGTATTAATAAAGGATAAAGTAACGACTAGAAGATAAAAAAGATAACAAGCAAAGCTAGAACAGAATAATCATTAAAGACTTTTTAGCAAATAACTAATCTACTAATCTTTACCATCCAAGCATATATAAACGATCAAGGAAAATGGTAACCACTGCCCTAATGGCACTCGTTAAGAAATCAAAAGTAGAAAGTTTCTATTGAAACGTGTATCTACACATTCTCCCGTATAACTTTATTATAGTTTTCAATGAAAACTCTCTAAATATTGATTCCTTAACCAATATCCTAAGGTACTGGTTAGCAAGACGAAGACCCAATGATCAATATATATACAATTGTAGAGTCCTAATTAACTTTTCTCTCGGCGCTAAAGTCACTTGAAGCACACTCTTTAAACATATATAAACACAGTCATTACCTGCTCAAGCACGAACGAAAAAATGTCCTAAGACTAGGATCAGCATCGTGAAGAACAATCTCCCCAAAGTCTAGGTAAAACTGAAGAACTGCCTGAGAACCAAATCAGAACACATCAAATTGAAGAAAAAGCAAATATTAGTACAAAATTCGTAAACTTAAAAAACAAAATAAAGCATACTAGTAGAAGAAGGCCATTGGAGGTTCGAGATTGAGGAAGGGAAGCAACAGCGCGGTGGAAAATCTTGTTAATCGGGGGATAAACCCTAGCCACCAAGTCCTCGGAGTTTTCGGTCTTGCATAGTTGATGAAGCTTCTTCACCTGGTAAAAAAAAAAACGTTAGCGAGAGAGAGAGTATAATAGAATGAAAACGTGGGAATTTGATGAGGGAAAAGAGTTACGGAGAGAAGAAGGGAGGGATCGGAAGCGGGATCGTTGGCGGTGTTGGAGTCTCTGCCACTAGCAGAGAGTTTTCGGAGGTGAAAATCCCAAGCTATGTCTTGCTCCGCCATTGTTATTGCGACGGAGGAAGATCGAATTGAAGGAGAAGCAACACTGAGGAGTGGTAGTACAAACGTTTTTGTTCTTCCATTAACGGCAAAAGTTCATGGGATTGCGAGGGGGAACCAACTCAGCAAGCGTGCTGCTCATACGACGACGTTTACCTCTGCTAATTACTAATTGCTGCGGTTTGGTGTATAACCTCCTATTGTTAATTTTATTTTTTTCATTTAAACATGTTTTTAGTCTTCCAAATTAAGATAAATTTGATTTTAATTTTTAAAATTATAATTATTATTTTTAATTTTTATAATTTTTAAAAAATTTATTATAATTGCTCAAATTACTAATAATATATCTAAAAGTGATAAATTAAGATAATTATGTAATATTAACTAGATTTAATGTGATATTTGTATTAACAAAGATATTAATAGATAAATTTTATACAATAATATTTGAGAAATTTTTTAAAAAATTCAAATATAAGAATTAAAATAAATTTTTTTAAAATTACAAGAACTAAAAATAATAATTTTAAATTTAAAAAATCAAAATTAAATTTATCATAAATTTATGGGACTTAAAATATATTTAAGTCTATTTTTTTTATAATCACTTAAAATATCCTTTTGAAACATTTTGTTTAATATAAATACCTAAATTTAAACACGTTATCACTTAAATTACACGTTTTAAACTATTGTGGGTAACACATTATTGTTTTAGGACTTCTTTTTTTTTATTTTTACATTTTATTAAATTCAAAAACTAATATAATTATGCTTAGCTTTTAGAGGGAGATCGCTTACTCTACAATTTTGCTTAATTACAATTTTATCTTATATTATTTTTATTTTACTTGTATAATTTTAAATTGTTTATTAACTCGATATCTAATATATATATTTAACAAAAATATTGACGTAACAATACATTTACTCGAATTTAGCTAACCATGAACAACAAATTTTTTTCAGTTTGTTCGGTTTTGACGGTGTCGAAAAATGTGCTCACCCCTAAATACGATACAAATAGAAAAATAATATTAACATAGCAATTCAATACAATAAAGTATCGTATCAACATTTTTTGTTAAGCATATGTCAAGTTAATATACCACAATTATATAATAATTGGAATAATGAGATCAAAATTGTGGGGAAAAATAGGAAACAAAATTTAGAAAATTGAAAAAGAAAATCTTTATTCATATAGCATTGGGATTTGCATTTTATCTAGAGCAATCTAGACTTGGACTTGGGATGGATAACTTCTTCAAATTGTTTTTTTGGAATGAGGTTGGTCATGATTCGTGGAGGTTGGTGGCTAATGCATTTCACATAAGTTCTTTTGATCCTCTTATTTACAAAAACATTGATTGTTTTGTTACTAAAGGTTTATTTTATGCTTTATTTGTTAAATAGACTAGCGGTGGATTTTATATGCTATGCAACTCATTTTTTTTTCACCTTTAATAATTGTATAGATTGTATAAATTAATAGAATAATTAAGGATCACATTATTTTCTTGTAAAAGGATAGTGCAACACATAATATAATATATGTATATAACATTCTTTATAGTATTTTATATTATTAATTAATAAAAAATTATCATTAATATAACTTTTAAAGTAGTATGGTAAAAGTTAAAAAATTTACTGGAATTTGTATTAGATAACAGTGTAATGTTTTAATTTATACACTCAGTACATAACTTTTCTCTCTATATTTTACAATAAAAATTATTATAAAAAAAAGCATAAGATACTTTGTTAAAAAAAATAAATCTAGTTATAATCTAAAATATAAACAATAGATATAAAAATCTCAAGCGTGTGGTTCAGCGGTAGGGGTTGATCCACGTTTAAGCAAGGTCAGGAGTTTGAATCTTGTCTTATGTATGCAGCCGCGTTAAATTTTGGGGCCAGCTATCCCACCCTTTGAGGTGTCTCCCTCCTAGCAAGGATATTAGTCACTGTTATCGGTCCTGGATACTCTAGGGACGAACAAAAAAAATAAAAATTGAAAAGATTTAGGTTTTCCCCCAACCCTAGACTAAAACATTTCTCCCTCCCTATCTATGAACATGACCTCCCCCGGTGAAGCATATTTCAGGAGCATTCAGTGCCAAATTTGGATGAATTCCTATAGGCTAGTACTGGTTATGTTTCCATTTGTGCATTCGAAACAAAAATTTATCACTACTTGAGTCAATCCATTTTCCAAAACAGAAGAGTGAGATGGATCATGGATGATACCTCTTGTTAATTTATTAGCACATGGGGCATCTTAATCTGCACTTTCTTTCTCTCTTTGTGCCAAGGGTGATTTAACGTTTCAACACAAATCACTCGAGCTTCTCACACATCATGCACTAAAAGCATCTCGATTGCAATATTGACTTCCAACTATAAGAACATATTTTTACACATGCAAACAGATCTTTTTATAATAAAAAGACATTTTATAAGATAATATGTGGGAATCATTTCAAGTTTCTTACATTCAAGATTTTAAATAAGGGTCGTGTACCGTCCCAGTCGAATCCCGATCTGATACCCTTTATAGGTATTGATCATATGACTCTTGAATATGGGTAGTCTCGGTCAGCAGGCGATCTAACTTTCCACGTGTGTAAGATCAGTCGGACCTTGATCTCACCCACTCCCCAGTGAGCTCGGTCAGGGTGTGCTCGGCCAAGGTGTACTCGGTCATGGTGACCTCGGCCAGGATGAGCTCGGCTAAGGTGAGCCCACCAGGATGAGCTCGACCATGTTGACATCGGCCATGGTGCAGTCGGCAAAAGTCCGAGTGGGTCTCACGTCAGGTGCTCCGAGGATTAAGGATGACAATTCTATCTCACTTCAGGTTCCGGGAAACCACGATTCTACATGATGACATGATTATCAGCTTATTTCCCGATATGATTCTCGACCTATTTTCGATGTGGTTCGAAGGGGCAGTTGCTTTATCCCTTTCGCCTTATAGGCTTAGGGCTGGAAGGCAAGTGTACCGTCTCGGTCAGATCCCGATCTGATACCCTTTACAGGATATATATATATATAATGGTACAAGGGTACCAAAAACCCTTTTACAAGATTTAGTGTGGCTATTATAATTAGTATAGTCTCAAACATATTCCCCGTGTTAGGATACTACAACACACATACCCCCATTTAATTAATATACTACCTATGACCCCTTGGCAGGTTACCAATTGTACCCACACACCTGAACAGATTGACCATAACAGGGTATATGGTGTTATTGACTACCCAACTAGCAACATCATGTCAATATATATTGCCACATCGTGCTTGGTGGCACCCTATCCTTGAGGCATCCAAGTGCGTGGCATACCCCATAGTACCCATGGCAGTAGTGTCTTAAATCACATCTCCTTAAGTGATTCATTTGCATGGCCTAGCATGGCATTCCCTCTACCTCTATTTCTTAATTACCGACGGATGTATTCGTGTATATTGTTAATAATATTTTAAAAAGTTATTTTAAAATTATATTAAATAACACTCTTGTTTAGTGCAACACTTATCAGATTTGACTTTTTAGTAACTTTACTCCACGATACTTCACACAGTTTCTTGTTGGTTAAAATTCTTCACTGGTCAAAACCTTCTGTGTGTAGTCCTTTTTAAGATATTCGTCTACTTTTAGGATCAAAGATTAACCCCACAATTCACTTGCACATTTTCTGGAAAACTTCTCAAAAAGTCACCTATCCCTAAATTACTCCATGTCAAACACACTTAATTGTGAAGTTCTTATAGAATAAGTTACCAAATAATAGATGCATCTTATTACTATAGATAGTACAAATTAATTCCTTTAAGCCATCATCAACTATATAATCTCATATTTGTACAATCTTTGGATCCCTCTCGTTCCGGTATATTTCACAAGTTAAAATATAATATAATATTATAATTTTTCTGTAAATTAAAAAATACTAATATTTTAGTTTGTGTATTTCACAAGTTACAGTTTTATTACTTATAATTAAAATTTATAATAAATTATTTATATAAATAAGTATTATACTTAAATCAATAAATCATATTTAAAATTTGTATAAATATATATTAAATTAAAATTAATAACAATGAAGATGGAACTCAGGATCCCAGTCAGCACTTGACAAATTTTCGCGCTCAAATGTTGATTTGTGGAGGAAGTATGGAAGTCCGCTGCAAACTATTCATGGGTACACTCAAAAAAGCAGCACTGGATTGGTTTAGTGGTCTCCCTGACCGATCAATCACCGACTTTGATGTCTTTAGTCGGCTCTTCATGGCACAGTTCGCCGCTAACAAGAAGAAACCACCGATCACGTCGGACTTGATCGACCTCAAGCAGCAGCGGGAGGAATCGTTGAAGGACTTTCTGCAAAGGTTCAATGAGATCACCTTGAGGATAGCATCCTTGATGAAAGGATGGCAGTTATCGCGTTCCAGAAGGGCTTAAGGTCTAGAGCTTTCGACATCGTGCTGGAGAAAGTGAATTGTCAAACGATGTCGGAGGTGAGAGCTTTCGCCCTGAGTCACATCAAGACGGAGAAGGGACAAATCAACAAAAGGGCAGCTGAAAGCCGAGAAGATGGGGTCGTCCCAAGAGATTTTTATTCTATATAAAAATGTGAAAAGGTTCTTTGCTGATAAAGTTTTTAACGAGGCACCACTAACTAATAATTTCAATTTTATTAAATATCATCTCTTTTATCTTTCCATGATCGACAGGTGTGTTATTTAAAGGCAACAAACTCGTGATTGATCGGTAAAAATCCGACTGGGCGAGTATAAATAACTCGAAGACCAAAACTCGTGATTGTCGGTAAAAATCCGACTGGGCGAGTATAAATAACTCGAAGACCAAAACTCGTGATTGTCGGTAAAAATCTGACTGGGCGAGTATAAATAACTAGAAGACCAAACTCGTGATTGTCGGTAAAAATCCGACTGGGCGAGTATAAATAACTTGAAGACCAAACTCGTGATTGTCGGCAAAAGTCTGGCTGGGCGAATATAAATAACTCGAAGACCAAACTCGTGATTGTCGGCAAAAGTCCGGCTGGGCGAGTATAAATAACTTGAAGACCAAACTCGTGATTGTCGGTAAAAATCCGACTGGGCGAGTATAAATAAGTCGAAGACCAAACTCGTGATTGTCAGCAAAAGTCCGGCTGGGCGAGTATAAATAACTCGAAGACAAACTTGTGATTGTCGGCAGAAATCCGACTGGGCGAGTATAAATAACTCGAAGACCAAACTCGTGATTGTGGGTAAAAATTTGACTGGGCGAGTATAAATTAACTCGAACTATTTTCTCTCATTATATAAGAGATTGGAATCTGGACGATGTGTCTTTCCGTTTTACACCTGGTCGACATTCTAGAGACCTGGTTGGCGTTTTGGAGACCTGGTCGGCATTCTAGAGACCTGGTCGGAGTTTTGGAGACCTGGTCGGCATTCTAGAGACCTGGTCGGAGTTTTGGAGACCTGATCGGCATTCTAGAAACCTGGTCAGCATTCTGGAGACCTGGCCGGTGTTTTGGAGACCTGGTCGACATTCTGGAGACCTAGTCGGCGTTTTGGAGACCTGGTCGGCGTTCTATAGACATGGTCGGTATTCTGGAGACCTGGTCGGTGTTTTGGAGACCTGGTCAACATTCTGTAGACCTGGTCGGCATTTTGGAGACCTGGTTGGCATTTTGGAGACCTGTTCGGCATTTTGGAGATTTGGTTGGCGTTTTGGAGACCTGGTCGGCATTCTGGAGACCTGGTTGGCATTCTGGAGACCTGGTCGGCATTTTGGAGACCTAGTGTTATATACCCAAAAAAAAAAGTTTTAAACTTGGTTTTTGTGTTGTAAGGTCGATAGGATTTTGATCTCGATCCATGTCTCGAGGAGGTTCAGTTAGAGTCCGAGCTAGATCCAAACAATGAAAGAAATGTAAAATATCTTTATATCATAAGATTTTACTTGAATAAGAAACAAGTGTTGGAAAAAATTACCTGCTTTTTCCCATGGTTTGTATTACACATATATTAATACAATTGAAAAATATATTATCGTAAATCAAAAGTGTACAAGTCAAAAATAAACTTGTGGTTGTTGGCATGATCGATCTATCATGATACGAAAAATAATTAAAAATTCATGTGAGCACTTATTGAAGAATCAGGACATTCTTTAATATAATATTTTCTTATGTATTGCTTAGTCCCAAGGTAAGTTAATAATTAGTCTATCACCAACAAAAATTAGGGATGAATATATCTTATTTTTAAAAGCGTCATAAAGTGATATTTGCAAACCAATACTCCCACCTATGGACAATTTAGATATTTTTATGATTTTAATTGATGTATCAACTAAATGGGTCACATGTGTGTTTATTATCAACTTGTAACCATGTGTTTGCAAGATTATTAACTCAACAAATTATATTAAGAACTCATTTTCCTAATTATCCAATTAAAAAAACATTTCAATATATAGTTAATTCACATCTTATACTTTTAATGAGTATTGTATATCTATTGAAATTGATAATGAACATCTAGTAGTACAAGTTCATACATAATGGACTTGTTGAATCATTCATTAAACATTTAAAATTGATTGCAAGACCATATTTTCATAAAATCAAAACTTTCAATGTCAACTTGGGAGCATGAAGTCTTGCATGTTGTAGTATTATATTGTACCAGGGCAACAAACTATTACAAATTCTCCCTTTTACAATTGGTTTATGATGAACAACCTAGTATTTCTCATTTAAGAAGATGAGATAACAATAATTTATTCCACTCACTAGTGAAGAATGAGGCTTTTACGCCACCTCTTTCTCATCGGACTTAACAAAAGCTGACATAAAAAAGAAGCGGTGGCATTTTTATAATTTTTGTGAAATTTTTTACGTTGGACCTGGTAGGGTCTGACGTAAAATGTAAAATCTACGTCGGACACAACATACAACCGACATAAATTTTACATTTTACGTCGGACCCTACCAGGTCTGACGTAAAAAAAGTAGCGAAAGCGAATAAAAAGAGTGCATGAGAGGCACATACATGCACGCACTCACTCGGATCTCATCACTTTTCTCTGTATAAACTCTCTCTCTCTCCTTTGTTGCTAAATTATTTTCTCTGTCTTCTGCAGAGTGGGGTGAACTTTTCATTACTCGTTCGCACATTGTTGCAGCTCAGGTATGAATCGTTAACACCTTTTTTGCTTCACATTGCTATTGTGGCTATTTGTTCTATTCGGTCTTTATGTTGTTCTATTTGTTTGGGTTGTTGGCCTTTTTTCTGGGTTGTTTTATCAAGCAGAACAGCCCGTTCTCCAAGCAAAACGACCCGTTCTGCTTGTACTCATTATGTTTTTTTTTGTTTACAACATTTTTATGTTGGATCTTGGCAATGTCCGACATAAATTTACGTCAGATTTCACAACTAACGTTAATTTACGTCTCCCGCTTTAACGTCGAACTCTTTTTTTACATAAAAAACTTAAAATAACTGACGTAAATTACCTCTTTTATACTAGTGACTTAATTATATACTTTTTTTCAAGTGCTTATTTTCTCTCTACTAATGTTGAAAAATTTGAATCGTTAAAATGACAATTGACAAACAGAACAGTAAATTAAATCTCTAGTTACTAATCTAAAATATTTTATTATAGATATAGATTCATACTCAACATATATTTGTAACTTTTTTTGAAGCCATATTAGTTCTTTGAACTGAGACAATTGGAACATATATGTAAAACACTCCAAAACAAATATTTATTTCCATTTTAAATAATTTAAAAATAAAAAAGTTTGTTGACTAAATTATTTTTTCCTCGTTAGCAGATATCTCTTGGGTGTCTTCAAATGAGTGGGTGCCCCCAAAAAATGGTATCCTGATTAACATGAATTCTATTTTTATTTTTTTTTTACGGTCGTTCGTTTAGATTGGAAATCCATTCACATGGCTAAAATTCTTTAGTGGCCAGGGTGTGCTCGGCCATAGAGAGGTCGGCCAGGTGTACTCGGCATGGTGAGATCAGCCAGGATGTGCTCGGCCATGGAGAGATCGGCCATGGTGATCGGCCAGGGTGTACTCAGCCATTAAGAGATCGGCCAGGGTGTGCTCGGCCATGGTGATCGGCCAGGGTGTACTCAGCCATGGAGAGATCGGCCAGGTTGTACTCGGCCATGGTAATGATCGGCCAAAGTCTGAGTGGGTCTCACCCCTTGGACTGGTCCGAGAATCAAGGATGAAAAGCCTATCTTTGATAATCAAATATTCCCAAGGAAAACCGTTATGAAAATCCTCGCGCTCACAAGGCCCAGGAGGCCCATGAACAGAAAAGCATAAAACCTAAAACCCTAGAGCTAAGACGGAAGATTACACTTTTGAATGCTCTGGCTCGGAGGCACGATCTAGGAAAAAACCCTAGTCCAACCCTTGGCCGGAACAGGTCGTAGTTACAAATTATACAGTCTCATGTGGTCATTAACACTCTAAAACTTTGTCATTAGAACCAAAGTTATCATCGTCATCATTTCTTAAAATCTTAATTGCATCATTAAAGTAGAAAATGTTGTATATCAGAGTTCTGAATACGTTTTCGCATGGTAGGACTCATTGTAAGTGAATTAAGAACCTTAACATTTAAATGCACCATGGTAAATGCTCTTAATCCTTCACTAATTAAAGTCGGCAACATTTTTAGTTCAACAATTTATTATAGTACAGAATTACAAATAATAGATATTTATTTAATATTACCATAAGACTTTTTCACATGTACTTTCTCAACTCATGATTTAATGCATCAATCATAAAGAACACTTTTTAGTTATTATAATAACTAAGAGTGCTTCTACTATGAAACATTTTGGTAAGTGTCTCATCATTAAGATTATGTAAACAATTATAATAAAAATATTTTAATATATAATTTATGTTTTTAATAAATATTTATACATTTTAAAATTGATTTATACAAATATTAGTTTTTACAATTATGAAAATGGCCTTCTTTATAAAAGACAATAATATGACATTTTTGAACCCTAATATGATTAAAATTTCTTCAAAAGGTAGTGAGCATTAGCATTTTCAAAGATCTTATATGTTCTAATATGATGGTGACTTGCATGATAGGAATGGATATTTATAAGTAAATTTAATTGTGTAAGATGATGAGTATGGTTATTACTTGAAAATGGATTTGTTATGCTAATGTATTGGATTCATATTTGTGAATTGAAACAATGTTTGGTAGATCTAAATGAGGGGAAATCGTGTTGATAAGTTGTTGACAATAGGGGACTCTTTGGTTGAAAGAATCTTTTGTGACTCTATTGTTACTCTCCATTGATGAATGTCTAAGGTGTTGGTGAGAGCTTCGAGCATTGTTTGAGTCAAGTGTGACACATCCATTGGTGACTCCTTGGCCTCCATTTATCTTTGTACCAAAGTGAAAATGTTTATAATCATGACTATGAGAGATTGAGAGCAAGTTCACAAGAGAGCGAGAAACACGCTAACAAACGAAATGAAATGAATACAAATAAAAAGACATAAATGTAATTAAGTTCACAAAATCTTAAACATCCAATTTAAAATTGTATATCTGAAAATTGTAAATAATTGCCTATAAATACACCACCTAACACAAACTATAAAACTAGGAAAAAAAAATCAGTACCTCATTGGTGGGACATGTATCTATTTGTTTTACATTAGAATCATTCAATAACTAAACATCTCCACTGAAGTATCTATAGAACTTAATTATTTAAGTGAATCAAACTGAAATGTTGACCTTAGAATACTGAATTCCAAAGCCTGTGATAGAAAGAATCAACATAAGATGACTCAAAATTGTGGCTTAACAAGAGATTCCTCACTATGTTGTGATTTTCTCTAACTCCTCTACCAAGCTCATTCTTATCATCCATCAAATTTTTCACAGCTTTGCACACAACAAGCCATCTTCTTCCTTGTTCACCACTTCAACACCCATGTACCTTCAAATTTTCACCCATAGTTTGTGCATTGATGATGAAATTAGAACTAAGGTGTGGCAACAATGCACCAACTGACACTTGTTCACCAGTGCCTCAATTGAAGGAGTTGCACCACAATGTGTATTAAAACACCCAACATAAAGGTGCTCCAAGACCAATTGTTTTTGCATCCAATGCCCACATACAACCCTTATTTCTTGAACCCTTTGTTTGAACTTTGAACCCTTTTGGAAGAATATCCTCAGTGGACTCAAGCTTAATAGGGGGAGTTAAGTGTTGTAAGAAATGGCATTCTTGTTAGGTCAATACCCAATAATAAATCATGCAATTGGTTTAGTTCTAATAAGTTTTCACTTTTAAATGCACTATAAATCATTAAACCAACCTTGAATCTACCAAGCCACTCACCCCATTTTGCCTCCAAAGTAGACTTGCATGGCTTAGGCACAAGAGGCCTTGAAATCAAAACATGTTTATTGCCAAACTGTGTCTCTAGATAATCCATATAAAGCCCTTCAATTTCTCTACAACCCTCAAATACAATAACATATGACAAGCCTACACCAACCTGAGATGCAATCATAGAAAAGAACAACATTGTCAAACTCCAATGTCCTTGTTCCAACAAGGAACTAAACTTCACATGCATGCAATTTAATGGAACAAGAAAAGAACCCTAAAGGTGGTTTTTCCATTACATCTTCTCTAAGAAATTATTTGGTAGTCTTGGACTACCAAGTGCCCATGGTCCCAACCAATCATTACATGACATTCATTTAATATTTTCAACTTATGAGAAAATATTAATAATAATT